GGAATATGAAACCGATTATTTCGTTATAATCCAGAAACTCCTTCCATTGTTTTCCGATGCTTAGCTGAAAACTCAGATGGAATTACTTAACTAACCAAACAAGAAGCATGATTTTTCCTAATGGACAAGGGAAGGTACAAAATGCAAGCATACAATCTCTATGGGTGCTCAGAAAAAAACAAACTACTGCACGCATTAATTTCGTAGTATTAGTTGTTAGGTCTCAATCACCTTACATCTTTCGTTGATAACTTTCAACGATAACCACATTCAAACAGGATTGATTCTTCCTTCTATGCATTCTAACATTGATGCATTTAGTGACATAGTGATAGTGAAATTAAAACCTCCCGGACACTGAATAATAACACCAGATGCAAGATTGCACTTACACCTTGAGTTTTAAGTCACTAGTCGATTAGTAAACTCCACCTATCTTGAAATATATGAAAATACATAAATAGATAGGAAAGTAAGGAAATTTGTAAAAAAATGGAAATTGCAGAGCGAACAAAACACCATCAACAAAACCTGGGCAGCTTCATTTGCAGCATTCTTTGTCCAAATAGAAATTTTTTCTTGCCTTGATCGGACATTGACAACTGCCCCGCAAATTTCATCACCATGATCAAATTGTTCTCCAATCATTGCCAGCAACTGAATGAGATCCGAATGGAGATTAGTGGCTGACCGAATATGTCAATGAAAAGATTAAAATTAAAAAATAAAATAAAAGAATAGAAACGAAACGAAACATACCGTGTACAGCCAACAAGTGTCAGATTTACCCCTCGGCAAAGTCACAGTCCACTTACCTCCGTTGGCACAAACAGGATCTTCCCATTTTGGTTCTATTTTATTCTTGAAACAGTGAAAATCTGCTCCAACTCCCAGCTTGCTGGGGTGGTGTATATTGTTGTAAACACTGCAAGCCAAACCAAAAACAACATCAATAAAGTGTAATCCAAAAAAACATATAAGGCTTCTCGGAAGCCATGGAATTGTCCAACAAAATCAAACACAAAACACACGCCAGCCTTTTGGAAGAAACAATGTCCATAAAGATTATACAAATAGGCCGCCATCTAAAATATAGAAAAAAAAAAGGATTTTCTTTCCGGCCTTCGGCCTTTGATTGGAATATAAGCTCAATAAGATCTCAACAGAACAGCTAAAGACACGAGCATTACAGTCCTCAATGCAGAATCCATAACTTAGGCCTGTAGCACCAGAACAAGAACTATAGAACTATAGGCTACTCGGTAGAAATTCTATGGAGCCGTCCATAATTTTACGTATCTGACACATGGCCAATATACATTTATTGCAAGACACGTGTCAATACATCATTTGTGAATAACTATAGATGGCTCCATAAGTCGAGTCATCCGATGACTCCCTAGCAAAACCGACTCAGTCAAATGCACCAAAATGAGAATTAAAATGAGCCAACATCTCTTAGATCACAAACATAAAATTGAATGACAGAAATAAAAAGCCCACTAAACACGAATCTATAGTCACATAGCAAACACACAAAAAAAGACACAAAAATCGAGATCCCAATCGACTACCCGTACAATCCAAATGAAATATAATCACAAAAAAAAGGAAAAAAAAAAACCCAAAATTACAAATACCCCCAGAAGTCTTCGACGGTGGAGAAGGTATAGATAGCTCGGATTGCGCTTCCCCACGTCGTCTGCTTAGTTTTAGCTGAAGGATTGTCGAACCAAAACGTCCACGAATGCTCCAAGGGGTGCTTCGGAATGGGCGCCGCCACCGCGGCCTTCGACGGATCTTCTGGATCGCCGCCGACGATCTCCCCTTCCTCCGCGTCTGACTCATCTCCGGTGGGGTTGCGGTGGTTCTTGGTCATTGATGTTGAGTCCTTTGCTTCCTCTTTCATGGCGGTGACTGATATCTCAGTTTCTTCAACCATCCTTTCTTCTTCCCCGCCTTTGTTTTCGATGACGATCGGTTCTCCTTGGAAGCGCAGCGTTCGGAGGTTTGGGAGATATTTTGCCTTTGGGTTTCCATGGCGGCTTACTTTATTATCAGCCCATTGGGCCACCATATCTCGCTAATATACATATACATACTGTTGCTAAATAATTATAAAAACTAGTACGTGCAGGTGACAGAGATATTAAATGAGTTATTTTCACAGCATTTCCCATCTAAAAAACAATAGGGTTATAAGCTTTATTTCACATCTGTTAACCAATATTTTTTTTTAGCCAGAACATTAAAATAATAACATGTTAGGGCTAGCTTGTAAAATAATTAATATATTATCTAACTAAAATATTTATACTAATAAAAATTTAATTTTAGCATATAAATTTATCTCATGATATAAGAGAAATTAATAGTTTTACTTATTCTTGTTCGCCATATAATATTTAATTTTTATTTTATTATATAATAAAAGAAATATATAAAAATTATTAAGCCGCCTTCTGACAAATATGTATGGAATTATGTGGACGTGTCTCATAAGTTACAAACATAATGAATAACATTATAAATTATTCATTCAAACTTTTATTCATTGCAAATATATTAAAATAATTTATATAAGGACCATTAAATATCACTTCAATATATTTATAAATAAAAAATACATAAAATTTCTAGTGTGTTTAAATTTAAATAATTTTTTTATGGGCTTAATTTTAAATCATCCAGACATTTGATCAAACGCATAGGTGTGCTCAAATTTAAATCATTGGCATTTTGTTCGGTTGAAATTTAAATCATCTATCATGGTACTGTGATGTGTAATACACACACACACACACACACACATATATATATATATATACAATGTTTTAACAAATAATAAGTTAAAACATTTTCAGGTTGGTCTCTCCGGCGACACGACATCCGGCGAGAAAAAATCCGGCAGCAACAAATCCGGCCAAACAAGTGATTCCGATGTCAAATTTGTGCGGCCAAAAATTCATCTTTTTCTGGCCAAAAATTGAAGTACAGAAGTACTAAGTAATCCCCCCTATATATAAAATTATTTTTAATATTAATTAGAAAAATATAATTATTATCAACTAATATATTTATATTTCAAGTAGTTATATGATATAAGTTATAAAAACTAATATAATATAACACATTTAAGTCATAAGTAACACATATCATTCTAAAATATATAGTAATATATTTTTTTATAAAAAAAGTAAACTAAATTTGTACATGACTATATTATTATCTCAATTTTACATGAATTTTGAAAAATATAACGTTTCACTTTATAAATCATTCAATCACAAAATTGAGACATCTTAAGTTTAATTTAGTATCCAAGAAAAAAAATTAAATTGACACTTGTTTTGATATGAATATGATGTAATTTATTATATGTTATGTGCACTGTACGAGTTGTGTATTAATTTCAATAGGCATGTTTTATGTAATTTTGCACAAATTATCTTTCATATAACATTTGAAATAAATTAAAATAGGAAGGAGAGGAGCATTACATATTGATTTCATATTCTAATTAATTTATTATTATTATTTAATAAGCATTTTTTATAAGTATCAATGAATATCTCTTACATGTACATCGCACGAGATTCGTACTAGTTACCATATAAAACAAAGTTAATTTCAAAGTGAATTGTATGTATATAAAAACGAATTGGTGAGCAATTGAGAATTCAAAACTGTACAAGAACTTATACATTATTTTTTTTCTTCTCTTAATAATAATTTATAATGAAAAATTAATATATTATTTCACTGTAAATACTTAACCTTTAGCAACAATATTTTTTGGAACATGACGGAAAATCATTTATAAATAATTACAAATATATTCAATTAAAGTAATTTTTTATTAGTTAATAAAGATAAACTAGTATGTAACCCGTGCGATGCACGGGCTGTATTTACTTTGGAGAATATTAAAAATAAAATGTACTAATAAATAAAAGAGTGACAATTCGTAGGAAAATTATCAAACCATGAAATGTTTCTAATGTAAAAAAATATATTATTTAAACTTTCTTGTACACAACATTATTTGTTCAATAACTGAGCAACTCGTCGTCCCCACAAACTATATTTTCAACACTTTTCTATTATTTACACGCGAAACAAACAACACAATTATCCGTGACTGAAAATCGATTTTTTTAAGAACATGCCAACGTACAATAAATGTTGACCTTGACTCTTATTGATCTATTACTTAACGTGCCAACGTACAATAAATTTTGATTTTGACTTTTCTTGACCTATTACTTACACGCGTAACAACATACAATTGGTCGTGATCAAAAAAAGATTTTTTTAAGAACATGCCAATGCACATCTCTTATTTATTACTTACACGTAAAAACAACAACATATAATCTGTCGTTGCTAAGAACCGATTTCTTTAATAATATGTCAACGCATATAAAGACTGACTCTGATCTTAAATGAAACCCTAAGATTAGAAGTAACTGGTGCTCTAGAACTTAAATGAAATCCTAAGATTGATCTTTTTATAATATGATTTACTTAGGCAGTCAGACAATGAACTGTTAGTTTAATATCGATTATATTTGATTAGCTTTATAATTTTCACTAATATTTTTATGTTTTTTATACAAAAAGACTGACCATGACTGTTAAATGGAACCTCAAAATCAGAAGGAACTGGTGTCGCTCGAACTTAAATGGATGTATAAGATGGATCTATTTATAATATGATAATTTATACAATAGTTAGACAAATGAATTGGTGTATATCTACAAAAATATGTATGAATAATACAAAACATTAAATATTACATCACACTAATTTCATGCGAGATATTATATATAATAGATATAAAATATAAAACAATAGTGATTAGACATTATCAGGCTAATTTTTCAAGTCGAACAATTTTTAATTGAATGTGTGACAACTTGTTATATATTTTCAAATTGAACAATTTTTAATTGAACAACTTTCCTATTATGTGTGACAA